CAACTGTTATCTTTCAAATTTGCTCTAAATCATTGTTTCCAAGTCTTTGTGCAACCCAAGAGGAAACTAACTCTAGAAATTGCAGATTACCTGGCATATTTTATTATCTAGAAATGTAGACTCCAGCCAGGGAAAGATCGTACCTATTTCAATTATTTTCCTTTGTAAAAAGAAATTATCCTCTCTGTGGTTAGGAACCAGGAAGAGTAAGATCAGAATATCCGCGAAGCGATGGATGCTATGGAGAATCATGAAAGGAAGAGAAATTCACTTTTCTATGGTCTCGAGAGGAAAAGAGACGAACATATACAAGAGGTTATTTGTAAAGCGATTACATGTCTCGATGTTCCAGAATCTAGGGCACGCAAAATGATGCCCTAGATCAAAGTTAATGAATAATGTTCACTAATAATGTTCACCGATTGCCACGTAAGCCGAACGATAACATCAAAACACGTGACCCGATCATAGTATAATTTGTTTCCATGTCCGATCGCGACGAAGCGCTTTTGACCGGATACAGCGACGTCCCAACATGCCCCCATGTGTCCGCATGCCCGGAAACAGGCGCGGGAAAAGCAGTCCCGTGCCCCCCTCCCCCCTTAGCGGCTTAAAAAATGAAGAAGGAAAGATGAGATAAAGAAAGAATAAGAAAGAGAAAAGAGAGAAAGAAAGAAGAAAAGGGGAAAATGGTGAAATAAACATTTAAAAAATACTAGGTATACGCCCGGCCCCCCCCCCCCACTCAGTGTTATTTAGGGTACGCATATGCTCGTACCCTCTTTTTGAAAGCACCCCCTATCTGAGGACTGCCAACATTTCCAAACCCCCCTTTCGCGGGCTTTTTGCGGGCTTTTCCTGCCTTGGAGACTCCCCTAAATCAGGAAAAATGCTCAATGTACCCCCCCCCTAAATTCGGAATAATTTCTCAGGAGTCCAAAGAGATGAGAGAAGAAAAAAAAGAAAAACACCCCTTTTTAAAGAAATCTCAGGGTGGAAAGTCAAATACACCCCTTTTTTTTTTACAATTCTCGGGCCGGACTTTGTCGCACGAAAAATACCCCTTTACCGGACATTTTGGCAACACGCATGCGGTCATTCCGACCTTTGAGTGGGGGGGGGGGGGGGGGGGGGGCGGGGGTATAGGTTAGAGCAGGGTTTCCGCACGCGCGGTCCACATTCTGTCCGCCTGGGACAGAGTCTGTCATTGCCTTAATTTAAGGAAATTACAGAATATTGAACGTGTCAAGGTATTTTAAACGAAATTTCAATAAAACTCAATAAAATTGAAAGGAATGTAAGAAATCCTGAAAAGAGAAAAATATCACAGTTTATTTTTTAGCTTTAGAGACAGTGGCAGTGGCCGAATCAGCCGCGGCCCCCTATTTATGGCAGCCTTAACAAAATAAAGAAAATGGAAGGAAAAATTAGAGAAGAAAGAGAAAATAATGTAAAAGAGAAGAAGCTATTAAGGGTGGAGGAAAAGGAGAGAGAGAGAGAGAGAGAGAGAGAGAGAGAACGAGAAAGAAAGAAAAAAGGAAGAACATAACATTCAAATTTACACTTAAAGGGGGTATTTCACTGAGCGGCGAATGCTTGCGTAAGTAGCGAATTTGAGGTTTCGCCAGGGTTCGTAAAAGGTCCCGAACATTCACAAATAGTGGCAAAGGATTGGCAAACAGTTGTTAATCTTCGCAAAAACTGTCGCTCACATTTGCTTACAATCGCTAATAGTCGTCAACTGCCAACATTTGCGACGTTTGTAAGCATTCGCCGCTCAGTGAGCTGAGAAAAGAACATAACATTTGATTTGACACTAAAGGGGATATTTCACGTAGCGGCGAATGCTTACGATTGTTGCGAATTTAGGAGTCGCCAACTTTTCTGACGAATGTTGGCGAAAATCAGGATTCGCCTCTGTGACATTTTGGAACTTTTAGCGATGTTAAGCCACAATTAGCAACATTTGCGCGAATGTTTGCGAAAGGCAGTTGGTTACTGTTAGCAACTGTAAGCAAATGTTAGCGACAGTTTTTGTGAAGATGAGCAACTATTTACACATCCTTTGCCACTATTTGTGAATGTTGGGACCTTTTGCTAACTCCTAGTACTAACTCAATGGGTCAATTTTTTATAGGAACCATATGGTCACGTGGTCCCTAGCATTGGCAAATAAAAAAGAACTTGAGCGACACCGTCTTATAACCCTTTGTAAAGGCTTACCACTGTTTTGAAACGCTTGCAACTGCTTGCGGAAAAATAAATAAAAAGAAAAATTGTTTACGACAATTAAAACTGTTAACGAACCCTGGCGAAACCCCATGTTCGCTACGTTCGCAAGCATTCGCCGCTCAGTGAGATACTGACATACTCCCTTTACAGATTATTTCCGATGAGTTGGCTCGACATGTACTTAAAAAGTCTGCGGACGAAAGTACAACAATACGAAAACAACCATTGTCTTTAAGAGAGAAATGAAAATGAAAGGGGTTATGTGATTTTCAAGGAGGAAACTACGATTTCTTTCGCTGGTGACGACTATCTTGAATTTTCTAAATATTAAAAAATTCAAGAACTTTAATAATAATAATAATAATGTAACTTATATCGCGCCTACACCCCATCCGTAAAGATAGAAGTGGTTCCCAAGACAAACTTTGTTGTATAAAATTGGAGAGAGTGGACTTTTTATAATTTACAAAATTTCTCGGTGTTCTGCTGCCTCGAGATCACTGGAGCGAAGAAAGGTAACAATGTATAGCAAAGAGTCCCTATTCAGTGAAGAATTAATCCTTTTCATCCAAATTAATTCTTCTAACATTCTTGACCAGAAGTGCGTTTCAAACTCAATAATAGGTACTTTTAGATTTGCGTGGACTAATACGTGTGACGTCCATTCAAGGCAGTGCATTAAAAGGACGTCGATCGTAGCAATCCACATTGTCTTCGTGCGAATCTAAAAGTCCCTACTATGGACATCATACCATTGAATGCTTTGTACAGTATAAGTGGTCTGCTACTATTGAATGAGATGGAGTGCGTAATTTCAGGGCTTTTATGTGCTCTTTAAAAATTGCACACAATGGCCCGAATTCAGAAAGGAGGTTTGTCGACAAACCTTGGTTTTCGTACGTCATATGACGCGTTTTACGCGTTTTTTTACAAACCTTGTTTGTAAAGAACAAAAGGAGGTTTGGCGAAACAAAAGGAGGTTTGAGCTCAAACCTTGGCCTGAGCTCAAACCTTGCTTTGTGAATTCGGGCCAATAGGTGCAGTGCAATTTAAATTTCAAGGGATGGATTAGAGTTGTTATCGTTCACGAAGGCTATCGACGGGAATCGACGGGAATCGACGGGAATGTTCTGAATTTCCAAAACTCGAGAGCTTCCGGGGGTTCCGATTACTTGATCCCTGACGGGTGCTCTGTCCCTGCAGCCCACCACTAAATGTGGACCCCATGTATTCCATTCGTACAGATAGAAGTGATTCCCAAGACAACCCGCTGTTTTATAACACCGTCCTTAGGAGATAACGTGAGTGTCCATAGCTCAAGACCGTATACTTTAAGGTCCTGAAATGCTAAAACTCGAGAGCGTCCTGGGGCTCCGCCCCGGAACCCCAGGCAGGGACTCTGCCAGGCCCCAAGCTCTGCCATGTTGTACGGATCCATTAGGAAGCAAAATAAGCCCCACTAAATAATTAATATATATATACCGTCCAACTCCTATATCTATATATATATATATATACGTCTTTGTGCTCTACCCCTGGACCCCACACAGAAGAGCTAACGTTTACCCGCGATTGTAGTCTGCTTTGCGCATTCGTGGCTTCGACCCCCCTCCCCCCTCCCCCTCCTCCTTTGAACAATCGTGGATCCGCCGCTGAGAAATGTATAGTTTTACCCCTTTCTCGCAAAATTTAAAGTTTAAAGTTGATAATCTGGTAGTGTGCGACAAGTCCTATGACGTTGGTCTCCTCATAGCAATTCATCTAAACAAACAAAAAATCCGCGTAAGAGGAATTTTGAAAGTTTAAAGAAAACTCCATAAAATCCACGAAATTTGGGTGTACAACAGAGAAGGAAAACAAATTGAGATAGGAGTGAAAGATACAAGACATACGGGAAAAGAGACAGCAATAGTATTTAGGTGTGTCCGTTTTACTTTAAAATACATTTTTTCCAGCTCTAAAGTGGCATGGGTGTGGTTAATATGCCCCCTCAGATTTTGACCATCTAGTACAGCGTTTTTCGACCGGGATCGATCCCGCGGGAGACTTTTAGTTATTGTTATGTAAAAAATATATTTTAGAATAACGTCAATTTGAAAAAAAAATATATCAGAAGCCGTGAGATGCCCAAATATATATCACTTTGGGTATTTTGCCGAGGACGGAACATTTCAGAGATAGTAAAGTGTCTTTTCAGGCAGAGAGGTCCATGCATATTCCCATTTGATGAGATGACGATATTCGGGCACCTCGCAGCCTGAACATCGTTATGATTCGGGCAGCATAGATCCCAAATGTAACCCTTTTTTCTTCTTCTTTTGTATTTTTTATATCGAAATGACATTCATACCACAACAAAGTCTTTTTTCCCCTCGTTCGCTTTCTCGCAGAAGTGGTAAATCAGGATGATTCCTGGCAATGAGATGACCGAATTAAAAATTTTACATTTTATCTAGTGTATGTTGATGACTGAATAACATTTTTACCGTTATGAAAAGTGTCCCTCCCCCCCTCCTTTTTGGCTGAGCCCATGTCGTGCGCAATTTTTTAGGGTTAACTCTAATTAACCATACATATTTGCAAATCATTCTTACGCGAGATTTAAATATATATATATATATATATATATATATATATATATATATATATTAGCAAAAAGCAATCGGAAATTATCACCAATACAGTTACACACTGTGTTTGTCCTGCATTGATGATGACGTCAGTGATATTTATAAACTTCCTTCTAATACTCGTTCTTTACTCTCCAGGTTGAGTAGTCAATAACTGCGTGTGTATCATCACATCCAATGAAAAGATCAGACGTCAAAAGAAGTCAACCGTGTCATCTAGCTCACCCATCACAAATATTTCCTTGGTTTGGGCTTTGCGTACGTATCTTCAACTCATTTCTGTCGACGGATTTTAAAGACATTCTGAGCCGCCAGACGCCTAGTCTTATATTCGCACGAACTCCTGCGTTGTGACGACTCCTTGTGACGTAACAAAATAACAGTTCTCAGATACTTCACATCCACTTCTTCAGCAGATTTCTCCTTAGTGTTTTCCCTTGTAAAGCTTCTGACTTTAACTGCCGCAAAATTGAAATGCTTTTAAAAGTGAAGGTGTGAAATCACTCTATGTTGTCTATTATTGACGCCTCCAAAACGTGGTCTTGGTGATGAGCCATTAGAAATAGGCAATCGCTTCAAGCTGTGATGAACATTTGGAAACTGGACCTCTTACAGATTCATTCGCTGTGCTTCTCTGAGCGGCAAGGCAACACGACGTCAGCATGAAATTCATCTTCCGTGGGACGGTTTTATTTTGGTGCATCACTTCAAGTAAGTGTTTCATTTTATTATTAAACTCTATTGAAATTACCTAGGAAAGACATGGAGAGAGAAGAGACCAAAGAAAGCGAAATAGCGATAGAGAACAGTGAGGAAAACAGTAAATTAAGATTAAACGGAGAGAAGAGAAGAAGAAAGGAAAAGAAGTGAGAAGGGAAAACAATAACAAGAAATAGACGAAGAAGAAAAGTAGGAAAAGGAATGGAGAAAGAGAGGGATGGGTGAAGAGATTTGTTCTACAGTCTAACCTCGGTACCTTTGTGATTCATTTCTACGTCTACTCAGCTTGTTAGAATACGGTCATTATCTATAGCTATCATAATGTCTCATGTATTCTTAACCTTAAGCCTAAATACACATGTACAGGTAACAACTAAATTATTCACACTCTTACCAAGTTTTGTAATTTTTTAAGTATGTAAAAAAGTATTTCCCCCGATTTATGTTTCTTGAAAATGTGACATAATAAAGCTTACATCTAAAATTATTCAACGAAAGCCCTAGTCCAACCAGTCCAACTTTCATTCTTTGAGTTACGAAAAACACAAAAATCCTCATATTTACAAGAGGTATGAATAATTAAGTTCTTAAAGAGAAGGTTGAGTTCTGTGAAGAGGTAAAAAATAATTTGTGAGCGTTATCATTGTTATTATGCAAGGGTGGAAGAACATCAGATTAAACATGTTCCCTGAAAAGCATGGCTCTTCAAATGCCCTCATATTCTAAATATGACATGAAACATCGTAACAATCCAGGGACGGATTTTTTTTCGCCACGTGTTCGTGTAGTCCCACATACATCATTATGTGTACAGTGCTTGTAACTTTGCCAAGATTTGGCAAAATTTCTTATCATTTTGATGATTCTAGAACCTTGCAATACACACGAATACTTATATACTAGATGATCAACCTTTTCTGATAGATTCCACACCGTAACTACATGTATAAATATGTATTGAAAGATGGATGTATCCCACAAGTAATGATACTGTATGAAATGAAGTGCTACAAGCTTTTCATTAAGAAACATAATTATCTGTACTACCTTGATGCGTCTTAATATCAAAAATAATATCATAAAAACATTTAAAATTATGAGCTTTTATTCACCGATATTATTATAACTATTACGCCTTTTTGAGTTCCGGAGGAGTTTTTTTCTTCTTCTTGCTTTGACGTTTATATGACGATATCATTACTTTTAATTTTGTACAACTGAAATGCATTTTCGTATCACTTTGTTTGTTCTTCGAAAGTATCGATAAAAGGTTGCTACGATTATCCTTCTTCGGAATAACGGTATTGGTGTCTTTGGTCAACATAAGTATCAACTATTTCTTTTTCTATTTCAACTTCAACTTCAATCTTTCACAAAGTTTGATTTTGACTGTGTGTCAGGGGATTTAGCCCGAAAATTGGTAAAATGTTTAAAGATAAAGTAACTGGCGGTGATCACATTTCTTTTCGAGTCATTCACACGACGAAACATGTAATAACAGAGTCCTTAACCGATATCACAAATAAATCTATGACTTCAGGAGTTATACCCAAGGCTTAGAAAACAGCTCGAGTAACTCCACAATTCAAAGCTGGTGAAATGTCCGATCCAAGCAACTGCCGCTCGTGATTAAGCTGTTCATTTTAAAAGAGCCAAATCTGATCCCTTTGCCGTATTGATGGACGATGAACCTCAGGGATCTACATTGGGTCCATTGTTATTTTCCATCTTTGATAACTTGCTATTTAAATTAATTCCAATCAGCGTTTTTTTTTAACAAGAAAATCCAAATTTGTAATACTCGCTATGTTAATATGTATACACAATTTTATCTCAAGTGTGGATCTTTGTTGTGTCAAAAATCGTGTTTCTACTTTGTTTATGAGCTTCTGAAACAACATGAGGCTACTTTCAATAAAAAAATATGTATATATATATTAATGATTATATTTCACCTTATTTGAAAACAGATTAAAATCTCTACATGAAATACAATATTACAAATATTCACCAGTATTCACCAATGTTCCACATTTATTACGAGGTATACAATAATTTGTATTGATGTATATGCTTTCTTTCTTATGTGTTTTGTTCTGTTACTGTTATGTTTTATATTCATGATTGTTATTGCATTTTGTTGTCACCAAAAGGGGCCTCATGGAAGACATCACTATCATGACTATTGGTAAAAAATATCCTATCCCGCATAGATGTTAGAAATAAATAAATAAGATACACAAACACAGAGTAAACCTTTCTGACAATTTAGATTACATCACAAGAAAGCTATATAAAGGATTTTTCAGGGAAAAAAAGGGCTTACTATGCATTAACTAGGTTAAGGGTAAAACCTGCGTTATCAGTGACGTCTTTGTCGTTGTATGAGCAAGGATGAAATAGAGGGAGGAGTATTGTAAGATCATTACTATTTTTCATGCCGCAAATTGCTCTCTCGTAGATCCATAGAAACTAATTGACAATTTAGATTGAATCTATGAAACCCCATGCGAGAGGGAAGATGAGAAATGATCGCCTTTGATGATGATCATTACAACATCGTTCCATAATAATTGGACCCTGTTATATACTTCACAAACACGCCCTTATTTAATAAAACACAATGAGTGAAATCATTGAAGGATGGCTGTGTTTGAAGACGGGTTCACAACGAAAGAGGAAATATATTGAAAGCCTCAACAAAAAATAATGTTATGCAATAAACAATCATGATAAATAACTGATCTATTGATTCGATTTTGATTTGATGTTTATTTATTCCATATACATCAACATATTTACATTTATAATCGTATAACTTTAGATGTATAGTAATGGCATGGAATATACAGAAAAGGGGGTGTCTTTTATAGCATAAGCTTAAAGTGACGTCCTTTCGAGAACGAAAATAAGAATACATACAATATGAAGCGATGCATACAAACTAGGTTAGAAAATAATACAAAAAGAGCATAGGAAGATAATGAAGAGAGAGGAGCAGGGAGGGAAAGAAAGTTACATTCATTATAGTTTCGGGACGAGTACACATCTATCATGTATATATAATCACCTTTTGACAGCTACTATGTATGGTAATAGGGTCTGCCCAAGTAGATCGCAATACATACATGCGTATAGCATTCTTGCAGCGTTCGTTTTGAAAGAAATCTACATTGAAAAAAGAATGTGCCATTCATTTGTTCATTATGAACACAAAATTGTCTTCTGCAAATTTAATGAGAAAAGCAAAACTAGAGTCTAATATACTTGGGCCTCGGAACCGGGGGCGGTTTAGGCTGCAGCCGCCCTCTCCCCCCAAAACACACACACACACACAATTTTATCAGCAAATTCAGTACATATATTACAATATGTATGTACAATAATCTAGATGTAGGAGCTATAGAATGCATGGATTCAGTATTCGAAAATTGAAAACCTACTTGATCATTCGTAGAACAATAATTAAAGGGGAATTAACCTCTCGGCTATGAAGCAATATCATGACATAGAGAGTAAAAACAACGTTTCATTTGATATAAGAAGTATTGCTGTAGGCCAAATAATATCGTCTTGCAAGTACTAGTACAATAAAAAGACCCTACTTCGCCATATTGACGATATCGTCTGCTTCCCAAGGCATTTTGTCGAAATTCCCTTAAAAACTTCCGGATTGTGAGGTATTACAAGGAGAACTAATGTAGCGCGCGTTATATGCAATACACGTCAAACATGGTGTACTGCCTAGCCAGGCGAGTACGCAGGGGGATGTTTTCGGGGTTACCCCCCCCCCCCTCAATTTTTTTTTGGCCCAAGGGGGATGTGTGTTAAGTAAAAAAAAAAATTGTATTGCTCTCACTATCCCCCCCCCCCCCACTCTTATAATTCCATGTCTGACGTGCAACCCATAATTTTTAAATGTATATTATATTTCATTTTTATTGTACATGTACATATTTTTTCTGATAGTATGAAACTGAACAGGCTACCCTTGATAAATGTATGAAAATTAATGATTTAAATTGTTAGATTCTTCAAATGTTTAAAGGCTTCAAATTGCCTCTCATTGCCATCCTTAAACCTTCCTTATATATAAGAAGCGGTGGAAAAACTCCAGGATGCCCCTACCCGGCTCCCATATGAATTGTATCAACACAGTAACGATAACATGAAAACGGGTAAGAGTGCTTTTGTGTTTTACCTAATGCACCTAAGACCTAATGCATCAGCTGTCTTTTCGAATCCGTAACTTCCGTATTTTATTAAGAGGTCACATGGTAAGTGGGGATCATTGTTATAGCTGAATGTCTCCATTATTATGATAATAATAATATTTCACGTATTGTTTGGAAATTGTCAATCACAAATTTTATTCATTTCAGCAGATCTCAGGGTAACGGAGCATGAACCTTGATTATGATTGTGGGTTACTTTTAATGAAGATATTACAAAGAATGCAATCAGGAGAGAGGAGCCCGATCATTTATCAAGACTATGTTTTGCCCCATTAAAAAAGCAATTGCTTTTTAGTTCTTTTTGTACTGTTGTGAATGAAATGAGGTCAAAATGTGCTTTAATTACCTCCATATTTTTTCTATTTAGGATGAGGTTTTAACTTTATGTTTGTTGTGTTTGATTATTAAAACAATTTTAATCGATATAATGTCATTTTCCCCAAAGGAACTAAAAAAAAAGAATAGGCCTAACTTTAAGAAGATGAATATATGTGTAGCTCATAAGGCTTTGACGTCTTCCCTCCGCACCGGAAATTCTCTATCGGCAAATTATGTTTGCTATATGGCACAATTTGTGTATAACCTGTCTACAAATAAGAAAAATTATGATTTTCCCTGTATTTTTGCTCGTTGCAAAATTTTCAGCTAACCTTTCGCTAAATTTTACCAATATATTTCCTCCCCCCCCCCTTCTAAAAAACTAGGTCATGTAATTTTTTTAAATATTCCTTATTGGGGGCGTATTTTAATACAACC